TTTTCCTGGGTGGTCTGGCTGGCTGGAGCCCCGCTGTGGGTACCTGCAGGGGCAGTGTTGGAACGTGCTGGAAACGGGACACTGGAGTTACCTGATGTCAGGTGGAGGTCTGGCAATCCCCCCAGCCTCAGGACCTGCTGCTTCCCCCTCCTGCCCTCAGGCCTTTATTTGCTGCTGGAATTTGGGGATGTTTCATGTTCCTGAGCCATCTGCTCCCCTCCTGTGGCTGATCCAAGTGGGGCTCTCTGGAACACTCTAATTTTCCCTTGCCCTCCTTTCACCCAGTCCCTGCAGTCCTGCCTCACTCATTTCCTGGCACCTCCTTGGCTCTGTCAGGGCAGTTTTAGGAGACTCTTTGGTGATGCCATTCATTGCTCCATCACTCCTGCAGCACACAGGAGCCTTGAGCAGCTCCTGCCTCAAACTGAGCCTCTGCCAGGGCCTCCCCACCCTCACAGCCAACAATTCCTTCCCAATATCCATCTCTCCCTGCCCTCTGGCAGTGGGAAGTCATTCCCTGTGTCCTGTCCCCCCATCCCTTGTCCCCAGTCCCTCTCCAGCTCTCCTGGAGCCCCTTCAGGCCCTGCCAGGGGCTCCAGGGTCTCTGCAATAACAATTACAGCACTGTGAATGATAAGGGTGCAAGGCAGGACTGTGCCCAGCTGATATGTTTATTTTCCCTGGCAGTGCAGGCTGAAGTCCCCAGCCCTGCTCGGTGTCAGACCATCAGAGCAGCAGAAGGAAATCCTTGGGGAACCACACGAGTTTCTGCCCCTGAATTGTCCCTGTTTGTTTTCTCCCGTGAAACAGTACCGGGATGTTTGTTTGTTTGTTTGGATTATGGGCCTATTTTTAAGTAACCTATTTTTTCCACTTTGGAAAAAGTATTAACTGGCTGCATGTCATGGACATCTGTGGAGTCTGACTTTGGGAACCACCAAGTGCTCCTTGGAAGTCTCTCACCAGGCTGAGTTGTTGCCCCTTTGGTAAAAATGTACATATTTTTCTTTGTGTGTGTACACATTGCTGAGCTTTGCTGGAAGAGACGTTTTCAGGACCCACAGAGGCAAATCCAGGCAAATTCCCTTCTTGGGAAGTGCACTTTATCCCACCTGGGAGCTCTGCATCCCCTCAGTTCCACTGCCCCTTCACCTCCTCCAGGATTTGGGAATCCCTGGCCCCAGCAGTGCTCAGTGAGAGCAGCAGCCCTGCCCCTGGAAGGGAGGATGTCTGGAGGACACACACACACCTTCTGCAGGAAAAGCCTCTATTTCTGTAGCCCCGTGTTTGTTTTTCCCCGAAGGACAGAGTTTTGAGGTCAGTTCCTCCAGGTTTGGAGCTCTGGGGCCTGAAATTCTGGTAGGACACAAACACAATAAACAGGAGAACTTGAGGAATGTTCCTCTCCGAGTTCCAAAGGAACAGCTTGCTGGTTGGAACAGCCTGCCCCTTCCCAGGCAAGGGAGGCTTTGGATTGCAGGGAAGGGAGGAATAATTCAGGATCAAAGCTGCTCAGCAGTGCATTTGTTTAGATCTGTAAGAGTGCCAGGACATAATTAATGTGTGAGTAAGCCAAGGGGAAAGAAAGTTGTTTTTTAACTTGGTACAGAAGGATGGGGGATAAAAACTAAATTTTGAGGGGAGAGAACCAATTCTGGAAACGTCCCTTTCCAAACTGCTGCTGTTGTTAAGGGTGTGCCCAGTGGGTTTGTTCCTCCCACTTTGCAGCTGGGAAGCAAAAATTCAAGTTTGGCATCTTGTGCTGGTCAGGGAGGAGCTCCAGGACTTCAGGTGAGGTGTGGATGGATACCTGCAGGCCAGGCAGCCCCTGGAAGCAGCATTCCCTCAATCCTGTCTGTGATGGCTTTTCCCACCTGCTGGGGCTGTGGGTGAGCTCTGAGGGTCGGGAGGAAGGAAGGGATCCCATCCCAGGCTGTGCAGGTCCTCGTGGAGCCTTCCAGCTTTCTCCTCTGCTTGGCATTCCTGGAGCTGGATCCGGGTCTGGCCTGTCAGCAGCAGGATTAGGCTTGTGGGAAGTGAAAAGAAATAAATCAGGAATGAGGTGTTATGGGAAAATGGCTGATGGAAGAGCTGAGCATTTGGGAAGGGAGGCAGTGGCTCGATGTTCCCGGGATTTCATGGTGTGTCTGCTCTGGAAACTGCAAAATAAGGAGGAGATTTGGGTTTTTTTTCTTTTAAAACCTGTGGAAAGGATCAGTAAAGGACTTGTCCATGCCTGTGCTTTTAGCTGTGGGGTGTGTGGACCCTGAGGACTCTGCATGGGAGGCTCGGGTCGGTTCATCCCAGGGGCAATCCCAGCACCTTCCACTGGGATTGGGGCACAAACAGCAGCTGGTGACCCTCCAGAGGGGTTTGGGGTGTTGGATCGTGCCCAGCACTGCCAGAGCAGCCCCATCTCTGCTCTGTGGCTCATGCCCAGGGTCTCAGAGGGTTAAAAAGCCCCCCTGGAGCCCTGGGCTGGCTTTGGCTGTGGGTATCCGAGAGGGGGGAGCTGGGACCCTCTGCCACAGGGTTGGGAAGGGGAGGAGATTCCTGGGCCTCCCTCGGGCATGGCAGATGGAAGTGGCACCCCTGCAGCCTGGGCTGCTGTGGGGAGAGTGTTTCATTAAGCTCTGTCCTGGGGGCCCTCTGGATAAAGGAGGAGACACTGGGGAAGTGTGGAAACTCCCCTGGAGATGCTGCTGGTTTTGTGGGAGTGGTGACAGCAGCACTCCAGGCAGAGGGGCAGAGGTGAGGCAGTGCTGGGGGCTGTCCTGGTCCCACCCCAGGCTGTCCTTGTCTCATCCCAAGTGCTGTCCTGGCCTGGGGTCCTGCTGCTCTCAGAGGTTTCTGGTGGACCCGCCGTTTCCTGGAGATTTGCACTCTGTGTTTTGCAGATAAACAGGTTTTCCTGTCCCTCATTTCATTTGCTGCACCATTAACAAAAAAAGGCTGGAAAGGGACATTTGGGGTCATTCAGTGCTGCTCTCCCACTCTGCAGGATCACCCCTGGGGTTTTCCTCACAGCTTTTGGGGTGAGAAGTGAGAGGTGGGGGGTTGCTGGTGACTTTTCCTCCCATCTCTCTTATTTCTCTTCTTGGGAAAGGAGAAAAAAAATGTTTCGTGCATCAAAGGGTGAGGCTCAGCCCTTGGAGTTTGTCATCTGGGAGCTGCAATGGGAATGTCTGGCATTCCTGTGCCATCCTGGGAGATGGATATCTTCAAAGGGCTCTCAGATGGAGCATTGCTGTCTGTGTCTCCCCTCCCTTCCCGCGGGCTGTCCTGGGTGTGATGCCCCTTTGGCAGTGACAAGTGGCATTGTCTGTGTCCCCTCTGGAGCTCCAGGTGCAGGAGCTCTGGCTGGGATGGAGCTCTGGGGCTGCTCCTGCTGGCCAGAGCCCCTGGCTTTGGGGAACTTGTCCAACGGGTTTGTTTTTCATCCCGGGGCTATTTTCAGCCTCTCAGCCTAACGAGGTGAAATGGCTGGGATGCTTTCCTGCTCCCTGGGACTGTGCTGGGAGGAGGTATCCCGCTGTCCCCCACCTCTCCTTTGGCTCTGTGCTGTGTTTGTGCCACTCAGGGCTCTGGAAGAACAATTTGGGCTCTGCACAGGCACCCTGGGCACAGGGAGCCCCGAATCCCAGCGTCGTGATGGCCCTGGTGCCCTCCCTTGGGAACGTGGGGAGGGTCCAGCACCCTGGGCTCTGTGTGGGAGAAGTCCCAGGAAATCCAGGGAACAGCACAGCACGGCTGTGCCTGGGGGTTGGGCTGTGCTGCTCCTGGCTCCTGCCAAGAGCATCTGGACCAGGGTGGAGGTTGTCAGAGATGCAGGAAAAGGGGACGTTTCACCCCAGCTCATCCTTATTCCCATTGAAAATGTGTAATTGCTTCGTTCTCGTGATTCCTTGGGGAGAAACTCCAACTGCTGTTTGCTCAGGAGCAGCGGTTTTCAAACCAAACCCAACTCCTGCTCCTTGGATCAGGACCTGTGAGCAAAGGTGGCTTCTGCAGTGTGTGCCAAACACCTGCACTGGGAATGTTGCTTCCGGCTCCTCGGGGTTCCTCCGGTATATTCAACCTCGTGGTGCCGTAGGAGGTGGGAGCGCCAGTCTTCCTGTTCCAAAGGCAGGATTAAAGTGCAGGGATCTCATTGCTGGGCAGGAAGTCACCTGGCAGAACAGGGCACTGAAGCCCTCCCAGAGGTCAGCGTGGTGGCCCAGCCTGTGGCACATCCATCATTCCTGGGCAGCACCAGGACGGGGGGGGTTCACCGGACCCGCTTCGGCTTGGGAAGTAAATTTAGCCCCTGGATGTGTATCTGCTCCTGGGCTGGGCCAGAGTCCTCCCACAGCTCCAGAAATGGGTCCAGGTGGAGCAGCAGCGACTGGGATCACCGCTGGGATCTGTCACTGCTGGGATCCATCACCACCAGGATCAGGCACTTCTGGGATCCGGCACCGCCAGGATTGGGCACCTCGGACCTGCCATGTCTGCGTGGAGCAGGGATGGGATCAGGATCTGGGGTTTGAACCTCAGGAGCCAAAAAGGGGCATCTGTGAGAGTTCAGCAAATCAACACATCCCAACCCCACAGCACTGGGGCCCCGAAATCCCTGGTCCTGGCTGATCCCACGGCGTGGGCAGCAGGGCATGGGGGGATTCTGCCCCCTGAGTCAGGCCCCACCTGCAGAGCTGCCTCCAGCCCTGGGCTCCAGCAGCAGGAGGACATGGAGCTGCTGGAGCGAGGCTGGACAATGATACTGGAGGTCTTCTCCAACCTAAACTGGCTTTGTGGCTGAATTCCTCTGGAATGACCCAATCCCTAAGGAAGGTTTGCTCACCTGTGGCAAACCAGGAACTGCACATGCACTGATGGGGTTTCCTGAGTTACCTGGCTGCACCAGGACACAGCTGTCCCGGAAAATGAGGGAATTGGTGTTGGAAGGAAGGAGAGGAAGGGTTTTACTATTCAGTAGAGTCTTTGTGTGAGTGTTGGTAGAAATGCACGTGAAGGCTTTGGAGCAGAAGGTGAGAAAGGGCTGGTTTTAGTGGAGGGGATCATGGAATCCTTAAGGTTGGAAAAGCCCTTGGAGACCATCAAGTCCAAGCATTCCCTCAGTGCTGACATGTCCCCAAGTGCCACATCCTGTTAAATCCCTCCAGGGATGTGACTCCATCCCTGCCCTGGGCAGCCTGTGCCACTTGTAAGTGCTTTGGGCAAGAATTTTTAAGGAACTGCAAAGAAGTTCCCTGTTTTGCAGCAGAGGAGGGAGGAGAACTCCCAGCTCCTTTTCCCCTTGATGCTGCTGCTGGAAGGAATGTTTCCTCCTGCAGGGTTAGAGTCTATAGAGTGGGGTTTTTTCCTAGTTAATGAGGTGTTAAAAAAGATCCAGAGGAGTGTGGACTCCTCTGAGTGTACTCCTGCCTCACCTGTGTGTTTGTGTTAGGATTTGGCAGGGAATTTCCCTGGTAGCTGGAGTTCTCCCTTTGGTGAACACAGTCCCTTAACCTGCCTGTGGCCGGTGCTGAACGCTGAGTCAGCACAGCAGGACAGAGATAACCCAGGATTTTACACACTCACGGGGTTTTCTCTCAATCCAACGTGCCCAAGTGCTGCTGCTCAGATCCTGGTGCTGCTGTTCCTCCAGTCCTGGAGGAGCTGCAGAGAATCACCACCAAACAACGGGTGTAAAAACCCCGGTTTGGGTGAAAGTCGAGCTCTGTGAAGCTCCAGCCAGGGTGCCGTGGTTGGGTTGGCTGGTGCCTCCAGCCCAGCTGCTGGCTGTGCTGCTGGGCTCTGGGAGGTGAGGGCTTTAGGAGGGGTTTATCTGGGGCCCAATGATGGCTAAACTTAGCTCGGAGGGGCGGAAATGCTGCAGAGGTGACACTTTGCTCTGGGGAAGGAAACGCTGCCAGTGCAGCCAGGGCAGGGGCTGGGGCTGTGCTGGGCAGGAGCCTCGGCAGGGAGAAACACAGCTTCCTTTTTTTGGCTTCTGGGGTTTTTCTCAGATCAGCTGATGGAGCCTGAAAATATAAAACTGAAAAAATAACATGAATTTTTTTCCCACAAACTCTTTTCCCCCCCCCCCCCTGAGTGAAGTTGCCAAAACGCTTGGCAAGTGGAGCTTCCCAGTTCCAGCCCCAGCCAGGTGAGCTGGGGGTGGAATGAGATGGTTTTATCCATGTCTGCCTCAAGAAGAGACCAGATGCAGGTTTTTTTAGGGTTTAGCTTTTAAGCTGTCAATGACAACAATATTCTGTTGGTCTCTTCTTTTTTGTGCAGTAATGAGAATACTTTTCATTTTAATTTGCATGCTGAAAGCTGCTATTTTCTCAAGTTTGGTGGTTTATCTCATGCAGAAAGTCCTGGACCCTCCTACATGTGTTTTGGAATAAGAATTTTTTCAAATGAGGCCATCTTTTGTGGTTTGGAAGCACATCACTGAAGGAGCCTCAGCTCCACTGGAAGCTGTGCTGGTCTGTGATGAACCTGCACACAACCCAAGGGCTCTGTTTTCCACTGCAGGCCCTGGGCACTTCCACTGATTCCCATGTTGGTCCCAAACCCTCCCAGGCTGCTGTTTGATCCAGTGTGAACTTTCCATCCCGTGGTGTGTGTGTTCCACGCTCTGGGTGCTTTGCTGAGGGCTCTGAGCTCCACAGGCAGGTCCTGGGAGGGAGAGCTGTTCCAAGGGCACTGCTCCAACACAGGATACTCCCAGTACAGCATTCCCAGCCCTCAGGTGGGATGAGGATGCAGGGTGGGGATGAGCAGTGGGGTCCTGCTGCCCTGAGCCCCCCACTGTGGCATTGAGCCCCCAGTGACCTCACACAGCTCCTCCATGTGTGGTTTGGGGTCCAGGGCCCTGCTATGGGTGTGAGGGGAGGGAGAGCCACCCCTGTGACCCCAGCCCAGAGACGGAGCTCTGCTGGAGCTGCTCCGTGTCCTGAGCTCAGGGCTCAGCCTGCACTGGGCTCCCACCCTCCTACCTGAGCCCTGACCCTGCCTGCAGGATTTATGGAGTGCTGGGGAAGGAGCCTCAGGAATTTATTTGTTTGCCCTCCGTGTGCTGCCCAGGCACTCTCTGTGCCGTGGAAACCTGCCCGGCCCTGGCACGGAGCTGGGCCCTTCCCAAACCCGCCCCTGCCGCTCCCTTCCCGGGTCCAGCATGATTTATCCTTCCCATTGAAACTCTGGGGGGCCTTTTCTCACCCACTGAGTCGCTGTGGAAAGGATCAGTCTGTTCAGCTCAAGTAACAACGGGGGCAAACCCAACCCTGTCTGGCTCCGTGCCTTTGGATGGCACGTTCCCTCCTTGGGCACTTGGGAATAACGAGGGGACACGGATCTGTGGGGAGAGCTGGCTGGGAGGGTGGGAGCTGGGCATTCCAGGGGCTGTGGGGCAGGGTCAGAGAGCACCTGGAACCCACAGCCACGGGGGACACTTTGCCCAGGGGCAGGAAAAGGGGCAGGTGTGTGGTACCAGGGACAGAGGGCAGGGTTAGATCAGGAATTCTTGGGAAGGAATGTCTCCCTGGGAGGATGGGGAGGCTCTGGCCCAGGTTGCCCAGAGAAGCTGTGGCTGCCCCTGGATCCCTGGAAGTGTCCAAGGCCAGGTTGGATGGGGCTTGGAGCACCCTGGGCTGGTGGAAGGTGTCCCTGCCCATGGCAGGGGGTGG